GCTGTGGGCGGTCCCGCCACCCGCGAGCTCCGGGGCGAGAAAAGCCCCGTTCGTAAGTGCGGATCCGACATAAGTCGCATCCGCGTAAGTCGGAGACTGCCTGTATGGGGATATTTTGCAGAGATATCTTTAATATTATTAAAGATAATAATCTGCCAGCACTCCTGAACTCCTTTTTTCTTTAAATTTTCTTTCTCTGCGATCTTACCACTATTTTTCCCCGCGAGCTCCGGGGCGAGAAAAGCCCCGTTCGTAAGTGCGGATCCGACATAAGTCGCATCCGCGTAAGTCGGAGACTGCCTGTATGGGGATATTTTGCAGAGATATCTTTAATATTATTAAAGATAATAATCTGCCAGCACTCCTGAACTCCTTTTTTCTTTAAATTTTCTTTCTCTGCGATCTTACCACTATTTTTCTGAGTTTATTAAAATCTGCTTTTTGGTACTGAATATAGTCTGGTTGATTGTTTTAAGATATATTTTCTCTATATGCTAATATTCTAAACAAATCAGATTTTGCTTTAAGAAGGCTGATTGATTTTTAGGCACCACTGTCATTTCTTCTGGAGGGAGCAGAACTGCAGGCACTGGAGAGAAGTCAATCCTGCTGGCTAACTGTGGTTGGTGACAGGGACTGCAACCCAGGGCCTGGTCTGAGAATGGGAAAATTGTGTGATTCTACCCCTAGAGAAGTGACAGCTTGAGCTGACCTGAGCACATGCTCTCAGAGACCTGATTAGGTGCTCTCAAAAAGAGCAGGAGGGATCAGAGATGCAGTTAGCCCACTCACAAAGTCAATATTCGTTTGATCATCCTGTGGCTAAAGAATTTCTGTGCACTGTTAATCAGCTTCCATTTAACTTCAGAGACAGGTCAAGTGATTCATCTGATTAGTCGATAGAATGTCTCGATTTCCGTCACAGTGAAAAGTTCTAGATAAATGTTTAGCAAAGTCAAATTGGGGGTGCCAGTGTGTAGAGCCCTGCTAATCTGTGGATATCCACTTTATCTCCATGGGGATCCGCATCTGCAGATGTGGATGCAAATAGCCACGGATCATTTTTGCAGATGTGGATACCAATTTTGTATCCGCACAAGGTTCTACCAGTGTGTGTGTTCCTGTTACAGTAGCCAAGTGAGTGACATTCTAATGTGGTTATTAGAGGATGTTTCTGCCTGGTTACTTATTTAGTTGCCCGGAGGGGAGGCATCCTGACTTCCGGCTCATTTTCAGATTCCTGTAGCTGATTGGGATTGAAACATGAGACAGGGGTCATGTTCCACACCGATATGCACTTGGTTAGTTTCTATCACACATGTCCTATTTTTAGAGAGAGAGCTCACCAGCGAAGAATGACGCTCCATTGAGTCTCTTCACACCCATTGAACTCTTTCTACTTTCCCTCAAGGTAATTTGGTACTCTGGGGACAACAGTCTCCTACTCTCTGATCTTCTGGGTATTTCCTGTTACAGAGGAGAGCAACAGTGTAGATCTGAGTATGCTGTATGTGAGAGGATAGAGCAGAATGTTGCATACTGAGGCTGAAATCCTGCCTTATTGAAGTCAAGGGCAAATCAAGTGACTGGCATGTCTGTCTGCCTCTTTGGTGCAGGGCCAGCTAGGTGGCTCTGTGCACTGCGCCATCCTGCTAAATGGGCACTTCAGAGCTGGCACTCGGGGTGGGGGTAGTGCAGGTAGCTGCTATAGCTGCCCCTGTGGATAGGGGCCAGACATGCTGTCTGTTTTCAGGAGCTGTATGGAGTGAGGGCAGGCAGGTAACGTGCCTTATCCCTGCTGTACCGTTTACTGGACTTTTATTGGCCCAGTCAGCAGTGTTGCAGGAGCTGCCGGGGTCTCTTTTCAACTGGGCATTCCAATCGAAAACCAGACACCTGGCAACTCTCCCTGTGCACTGTCTGTTTCTTATGGCCTCCTTTGTTTTGTTTCTTACTGAGTCATTTTGGATTGCATTGTATGTGTGAGGTAGGGCTGGAACATCTGCAGCCAATGTTCAGCATTGCCAGCCCATATGTTCAAATATAATATATCAGACCCCTCTCCTCGCAAATGTATTAGATTAGTTTAAAAACTGAGATATTTGAAAATAAATAGGTCATGTTGTAGGAGTAGGGTATGCAGCTCAGCACCCTCACTCCAAAAAGTGTTCTGGTGCCACTGGTGTTCTCCTGAGCACATCTCTCAGTTCCTCCTGTTTCCCACTTTCCCCTGACTTCACATAGTTTCCTCTCCCATTTCCAGTATTGCCAAACGCAAATGTTCAGAATCATGAGCCAGACCCCTACAAGTCATGAGACTTTAAAATAAAAGTTATATTTATATTTCCCTCCTGGTTTGTGAGCTCTTAGGATGCACTTGGGCCACATATCAACACTTTTCTCCCAATGAGGCTAGAAACCTGCTTTTTAAATAACCCAAAATGAGATACTTGTGTAATTGAGACTACAAGAAGGTTTTAAGTAAAATATGAAATATAAGACTAGGGAATACTCTGTTATGTAACAGATTTGACCTTCCTGCTTTCACTATGATTTCATTCCTGCCTCCTCTGCATTCTCCTGGGAGGTGGTGATGATAACCATCTTTACTGGGAACTAGGGATGTAAGTGACTACTCAACTAATCGACTATCCCATAAGCTTATCTAGTCCCCCCCCCCCCCCATCAGAGAGAAGCAGCAATGGAAAATTCCATCGACTACTCAATTAGTTGATTAGTTGAAATTTAACATCCCTACTGGGAACAGCCAGCCTCAATTTCACATGCAAAGACTAAAGGGAGATAGTGGCCAACTTGCTGAGGGCAGTCTGTTGTTTCATTTCCTATTATTATAAGCCCAGTGGCATTTTAAAAACTAACAGATTTATTAGGATATTAGCACATAAGTTTTTATGAGCTACAACTTTGAGTCTTTAAAGTGCCATTGGACTCCTTGTTGTTTTTGCAGAAACAGACTAACAGGGCTACCTCTCTGAAACCTAAAAAACAACAAATAGTTTAGTAACACCATAAAGACTAACAAAACATGTATATGGTATCATGAGCTTTCGTGGGCACAACCCACTTCTTCAGATGACTGGAAGAAGTGGGTTGCACCCACAAAAGCTCATGATACCATCTGCATGTTTTGTTAGTCTTTAAGGTGCTACTAGACTATTTGTTGTTTAAGTTTTTCCTGTTACAGACTAACTTGGCTACCCCTCTGAAGTCTCTGAAACCTGTCATTATCATCAGTGAGGTTGGAGGCTGTGGTAGACCATAGGTCCTACCTCCCCGCTTCGGTGCCCGCGCCCAGCATAATGACCTTTGAAAGCACCCTTGGGTTCCTCAGTAGTTTCACATTTATTTACATACGTCCCCACGTCTTGGGGGTCAGCACTTCTCTCCCCACAAGTCCATACCCGTGGTTCTAGCCGTATCCCACTCCCCCCTCCATTCATTGGCTCCATTCACGGTGGCGGAAGGGAGACCTGGGCCCGCCCTCATTCCAGGTCCCGACCCAGGGCAATAAAGATGGGGAGCTCTTCTCCGGCTTGGTTGGTGGGGTGTTACCCCTAAGCGCACCAACCCTCGGGAGTCGACTCAGCCCTACAGTGGGTCACTTCCTTCCCACACGGCCCCTATGGGGCCCGGCTTACCTGTCCAGCTGACAGGTTCCCTCTCCTCTCCTCTTCTCCCTCTGGCTCTCTCCCTTCTGTACCCTGCTCCCTGTACGCCCCACCCCTCACATCAGTACTAAACCCTCCCCCTTGGTCCGTTGCGGGTGCGTCCGCTGACATGGGAGCATCTGCGTCACCCTACAGTCCCCTGCCCCCTCCACGAGCCAACGCTGTTCTCCGGCTGGGCTGGCCTGACACGGGAGCAACGCTGCTTCCTTTTCCCCGCAACTTCTGCCACGTTACCTTGGCCGCTTCCCTGCCGGGAGTGCAGGGCACATCTGCCCCGCTGCTTCCTTTTCCCCGCAACTTCTGCCATGTTACCCTGGCCGCTTCCCTGCTGGGAGTGCAGGGCACATCTGCCCCATCACAGAGGCCATTTTAGATAAAGGTAAAACTTAACTAGATTGAGGGCAGAAAGCAGAAAATGCTGTGAATGTTTCGCACTCCCAATTTCATTCTAAGTTTCACTATGTTGTGGGAAGAGTTCTTACTTCACAAGTCATAGAAATTAAAGATGCAAATGTCTATTAAGCTATCTTGTCCACCCATTTCTTGAGGTCTAGTGGTGAAATATTCCCTATAATCTGTTCTCTGTGGCCTTTGTCTTTTCATTTATGGTCCTAGGTGACAGGCACACACCTTATCCCTTGGAAGTTGATGCCACAGCCTCACACATCTTACTATTACGAATCTTCTGGAAGATTCTGCTCATGTGTACATTTGTTCCATTTTATCTTAAATGGGTCCTGTATTCTTCTTTTGTTTCCATGAATTCCTCAACGATGTGTGGCAGCAAATGTCAGCAGATGTGGTAGAATGCACAGTTTTAGATCTGCAGGGGTCTACTCTTAGATGGACTAGATTTAAGTAAATAACAAAGATATGCTGGTCAAGGTGGCAGTTGCAATTAAATTTAAGGAAGTTCTGACTAACCCTCTTCCTGAATGCTTGCTTTGCACTTTTACCTCCAGTTTTTTTTTCACTCTAGGAATCTCTGCATGTCACAGACCAAGGCTGGAAAATGTTTATCTTTTTGCAATTGGTTGTATAGGAGTGCACATAGGTTGGCATGTGTGTTATGTATGTGAGGGATAACTGAGGTGTTTGGAAGCTGTGGCACTCACTTTAAAACAAGGGGGTCCCGTCTTCCTCTCTCTGACCATTTAATTATTTTCATTCTCTCTCCCTACAGGTGTAACAAGCAGCACTGACTGTTCCTGCGGACGCAATCACTTTACTTGTGCAGTCAGTGCTTTTGGCGAGTGTACATGCATCCCTGCTCAGTGGCAATGTGATGGTGACAATGACTGCGGGGACCACAGCGATGAAGATGGCTGCAGTAAGAAAATTACTCCTTTTATGTGTACATGTGGGTGCACAAGCTAGTGAGCAGGTGCAGGCAAGAGGGGTTGCGTGTGTGTGTGAAGGCTGATATGTGAAGGTTTTAACTTTCGTCTACTGACCTGAGAACTCTATGTGTGATGTAGAAGTTGTAATGGGTTTGCCTTGGTTTGTTTCCCACCTTCTATCTGTTCTTTTTCACTAAGGCCTATTTCTGGAATAGTAGAGGGCTGCTGACCAGGACTATGTGTATAGGTAGCTCAGGACAGGAATAATGGAGGCAGCTCTAGTCAGAGAGGCAGTCAAGGAGGAGGCTTGCTGTGTACTATGCCCGTGTTTAATCTTTTCTTTTTTAAACTTTGATTTAATCCTGTTTTAGAGGGTAAAAATAGTTTTGAACTGGAATGTAAAAACCTGTGAAGACAGACACGCCAAAAGAGTCTACCTCTGTGCTCCACCCTCACTTCAAATCAGTTGCCCTTTGACAGTGTGTCGTCTTCACCACCTGGCTCATTTTTGGGAGACCTCTGACTATATGAGATGCTTTTCCATTTACTGTCATAACAGCTGAGGTTCACTAAGGTGCTTGAGCTGACAGTCCCCTGATTTCAGAGCTAGGGAGCGAATAGGTAGGGGGGCTCTGGACTCTGAGGCTCCCATATCCTGTGGTCTGGCACTGACAGAATCCCCTAACCTAGGATACTGTGCATGCTCATTCTTGCTTTGGGGACTGGTTGGGGTCATGTGGGGGGAATTTTGTGTGTGTTAGGGGAAAGGGAGGTCCTCTTCCTCATGTGAAAGGGGCAGCTGCCCACAAAATTGCTTTGTATAGCTGAGCTATGTAGATGGGGGAAAATAAACTTTCTGAGTATGTTCTAGACGAGCGGTTCCCAACCTTTTTTATGCTGCAGACTGGCAAACCCATTCACAAACTTTTGGCAGACCGATATCAGTTTATTTTCATAATTGCATATTCATTATGCAAATAACATATGCAAATAAAATGTTATCGTCCGCTTAGCCCCAACCCAGCCCATTGCTCCCCAGTCCGTAACACCCTTAGGCCCCCACAGCCCATGCCAATACCCTCTTGTCCTGTGACCCCACCACGCCCTTACCCAAAACTCCATTGCCCTTTGCCTCCATCCCAACCCTGCACTCTCCAGAGAGAAGTCGCTTGCCATTACTGAAAGGAGAGGGGGGACGGAGGCACCTCCGGCTTCACCTCTTTCTGTCACCGCCTCAGCACTGCTGCTGGCAAAAGCGGCCGCGCGGGCAAGGGAATTGGCCGTTGACGGCATGAACCCTCCCTCCTCCTTCATGCCCCCTCACTCACCAAGTGCATCTCCCCAGGTGTGGAGGCGGGAGAAGTGGGGATTGCCATTACTGAAAGGAGAGGGGGGACGGAGGCACCTCCGGCTTCACCTCTTTCTGTCACCGCCTCAGCACTGCTGCTGGCAAAAGCGGCCGCGCGGGCAAGGGAATTGGCCGTTGACGGCATGAACCCTCCCTCCTCCTTCATGCCCCCTCACTCACCAAGTGCATCTCCCCAGGTGTGGAGGCGGGAGAAGTGGGGAGGCGCCTCTTGCTCCTCCACCTCCTACTGCCACCATGGCTGCTGGAGCTGAGCCGCTGCGAACAGTTGGCTTGAGCTCTGACAGCCACCACAACCCAGCAGCCAGCGGTTCACAGACCGGCACGTCTGCGGAACAGCAGTTGCAAACCACTGTTCTAGACTAGTGTGCCCTCTCCCTGCCTTGCAGGCTGCAGTGTTACCCACCCTGGGTGCTCTGTGAGGAGAGGGAAAGCAGCCCTTCTAAGCTATGCTCCTGTCATTCATTCACCTGTTGCTGTGGGATCCTGCGAACAAGATCATCTTACAGCTGATGTCAGTGTATGTTTAGCTGTGTGCACAGATAAGAACTGTTGAAAGGCTGGGCTCCCAGTAGGCCTAGCAGGAAGGAAAAGAATTAGCATGTAGAAGCCCTCTCCCTAGAACTGCAAAGAATTGCAGCTGCTTCCTTTACTCACCTCCTGGGATTTCACATATTCCATTGGGGAATAAAAGCTCAACCTGAAAGAATTACTCTTCTTCAAATGACCTTCTATCCAAAGAGAATCCAAGCCCTCTTTTTAGCAGAAGTGGGGAAATCTTTCACCTTTGAGATATGTGTCCCAACCTGACTGCTTGCTGGGCCCACTGTTCCAACATCTATGCAGGAGAAAATTTCATTCCCTTTGTAGAATGAAGTATTGGGAACTCCCACTGAGGCTTCGCTGCCTTCTTTCTCTTCTCTGTGTAGGTGCAGGAGAACTCTGCACTGCTGTAGGGAAGTTCCTGTCTTCCCCAACCTTGGTCCTTGCATCTCTGGACAGAATAGTTAGTAAAATGGAAAACTCATGGGGGAAAATAAGCCCTCAGGAAAATAAAGGGAGCAGGATTCTGATATAAGGTGACCAGTGGGAAGAGAACCTGAGAACCTGTGTGAGAAGCAGGGAAATCACCAGAGACAATATTTGGAGAGTCCAAGAACAAAGGAGGAAATAAAGCAGTGAGGATAGAATGTGCCTGGGCCTGCAGGACTGGGCCCAAGGGAAAAAAGTACAAAATGCCTGAGAAGAACCTTTGTGTGCTGCAGGGGAGGGAGGAGTTGGGTGTCTGGGAGCCCGGGAAAGTCTCGATTCCTGAAAAAGGATGGGAAGAGAGAAACGGAGCCCACCAATTGTCTGTTTCCAGATGAGACTAGGGGAACTGAGGCAGGAATAGCTGATAGCTAAGCACCTGGGCTGATTTTGAAAATTGTTCTTGCTGGCCTTCAGCGCACTTACTGGGACAGACTGGAGATAAAAAGGGAGACAAGACCTACTTGAGCTTCACACTCGGAGTGGGGCTTCACCCAAACTGGGGAGGAGTGGAATATTGATCTGTGATCAGATTGGCTGACCTCTTTGTGATTGGAAGGGAGAAAAAATACACAGGGCAGTTGCAGACAGCCAGGTGAACTAGAAAGCCTGGGAATCTCTAGCCACTTACATGAATCAGTAGTCTGAGTAATTGAGCCTTTACACTCAGAGAGGGGAAATAGAACAGCTGTCAACTGGGGGGCAGCTCTCTGGAAAACAGCAAGTCTGAGACAACAGTGATTAGACCCCCTGCTGCCAGACTATTGTCTGTATTTCTGGCCTCCGCCATTTAGAAGGAGAGCGACAAACTGCTAGAGCATATTAAGAAGGGTAACAAACCTGGTAAAATGGGAAAGGAGATGTTTAAATTTAGCTTCTTCCAGGGTAGAAGTAACTTGAGGGGAAGGGCTGGAAAATAATCTGCTTCTATAAATACCTACAGGGAAACAGGATAGATAAAGGGAAGGAATTCTTCAGCTCACAGCCAGGGTAGGAAGGAAGGCAAAACAGAAGCTAGAAGCTGGAGCTGAGGAGTTGGTGTCTCTTACTCACAGCCAGGGTAGGAAGGAAGGCAAAATAGAAGCTGGAGCTGAGGAGTTGGTGAAAGGGCTTTAAACGAACCCATCAATCCCAGACCTATGTGCACATTCCAGGCTTCTGTTTTGTCTGCACTTGAATGTTTAAAATGCAGCTGCAGTAGCACTTTAACTGGCAGTATGGACTTGGTCATAGCTCTCCCAGCTGTCTCGGTAAACCACCTCCTCCAGGGGAATAGCAAACTGCACCGGGAGCACAGCTCTCAGCGTTGTAGCGTGGTTTTCAGTGGTGCTTTACAGCACTGTAACTTGCTGTGCTCGAGGTGGTGATGGTGGTAATGTTTTCATACTCCTGAGCCAGAAAGATACAGCGCAGTAAAGTGGCAATGTAGACTTATCTTGGGGAGGCATTTGGAACACTTTTTCTCCATTGAGGCTGCTGAGTTGTCGGAATGGCTCTCCAGTGTGCATCATGGTACATGCTAGAAGCAGTCCGTTAGGAACAGGACAGCCTTGTGAAGTGAGGTGCTGGTGACTGGTTTCTTTATTGATCTTCCATTCTGCCTGGAATGACAGTAACAGCTCCCTGCTAAAGCTAATCATGCGGAATCCCTTTCCTAGTCTGGCCTTTAGTCTTCCCAGAGATGTCTGAAGGCGTTGAGTTCTCACAAGCTTTTTTTTAACCACCCGTAAGAGCATTTCCATCAAAGCCTAATCCTTTCCTTGCTTTCACTTTCTCACTGTTCATCCAGCTTCTTCAACATCCATGTGCTGTCCCAGTTAGAGTTCCTGCTGCTGCCACCTCCTCCTCCTGATAGATACGGTCTGCTTCCAGCTCCTCTCTCTCATTGTCTCCTATTCTGGACTTGTCCTGTTTCTTAACTACTCATATATATTGTGTCTAAAACTTCTGCATTTCCACATAATTTTTCTAGTGACAAGTACCAGGCACTAACAGTAATGGGATAGGATTGCACAAATTACACACCTCCCTTGCAGAATGGGGGTGCCTCTACACAGCAAAGTTATTTCGGAATAATGACCCTTATTCCGAAATAACAATGCTGTCTACACAACAATAGCGTTATTTCATAATAATTTTGAAATAACGGGAGACTTATTCCAACTTCTGTAAACCTCATTCTACGAAGAATAACACCTCGTCCAAAATAGTTATTTCAAAATAGGGGCTGTGTAAATGCTCCACTTCTGCTATTTCAAAATAGCCCCTCGCCAGGGCCATTCTAAGTTATTCCTCCCCAGTGCCTCCTGGGGCTCTAAATCGAGATAGTGCATCTACATTTGGGAAGCCCACCTTGGACTAATTTTGAGGCTTCCCTGCAGTGAAGATGTGCTATTTTGAAATAAGCTATTTCAGAATAACTATTTCGGAATATCTTATTCTGAAATAAATGTTCAGTGTAGACATAGCCTTAAAGATTCAGTTAAGAAATCATTGAAACGTTCCTTGAAAGCTATGGAGGTGCAAGCTGGAATGAGCTGTATGATGTGTTTTAGCCCATGAATCTAATTCTGTGCAGCCACCTGTGTGTAGATG